AACCTTATGTCCCAAAAGTGAATAATCCCACCTCAAAACTAGTGGAGGAAATTGTTTGGTTTGTAGCAAAATAGGTCATCGTGCTACTCAATACAGACACAGGAAGAGAAGTGAAAATCCTCCAAAACCAAATGCAAATTTGGTTGAAGGAGATGATATTATAGTTACGATCATTTCTCAAGCCTTGCTAATGGCTAATGTGAGTGATTGAATGGTAGACTCTGGGGCTATCAAGCATATCTGTGCAAACGAAAATATATTTACCTTCTACACTTTAGTGAGAGATGAAGAAGAACAAGTATATCTTGGTGACTCAGGACTGCTGAAGTTCTTGGAAAAAGAAAAGTTCTTCTGAAGCTCACATCTAACAAGACCCTTCCTCTCAATGAAGTGCTACATGTGCCTAGTATTAGTGTGAACTTAATTTCTATTAATTTACAGGGAAAGTTGGAGTTAAGGTGTCTTTTAAATCTAATAAAATTGTGATGACAAAAAATAATGTGTTTGTGGGAAAAAGTTATTGTAAACAGGAACTCTTTGTACTCAGTGTTGCTTATGTTATCAATGAAAATACTTCATCTTCTGCTTATTTGGTTGACTCTAAATATTTAGCATGCTAGATTAGGACATGTTAGTGCTTATTATATAAAGGAAATGTAATATCAAGATTTGATTTCTAGTTTTAGTAATGGATGCTTAAGCAAATGTGAAATATGTGTGGAATCAAAAATAACTAAAATGTCATGCTTACCTATAGAAAGATACACAAAAATAATCCTTAAGATTGTTGTCCAAATCGACCTGAAGTAGCTCATCAATAATTTAGTCTGAGGCTTGTAGAACATTGTCCTTAAGGATTATTTCGGTGTAGTAGAAAATCTTCCACGATATCGTAGACTCTTCTTGTCTAAAAAAAAACAACGCTCTAAAGAACTAGTAAGATCTAAAACTCGTAACCCAGAAAAATTATATAATTAGAAAAGTTTGTGCATGTTCGTCCCTCTTTTGTATGGTTTTCCCAAAATATATAAAATACTTTTTAACCAGTGTAATTGTTCAGGTAACTGTTATATATAACTAAAAATATAAGTAATAATAATAATTATCTCATAAACTATGTAACTGCAAATATCAGTAATAATAACAATTAAATTAGAATAATAAAATAACAATAATAATTAATAAATTCTTTTGAAATATAATTATATTATTTTTCAACCCTTGCTACTCTTAATTTTAAACACATAAAGAAATACAAGTTCAAAGAAATTCATCAAAATCTAAATTTAAAATAAAATTTTAAGTATTTGGAATTGATTTTACAAAATAATGATGAAAGTAATGATGTTTTTCATAAACGTAGTTATAATTAAAAAGACATTAAAATTTATTTATGATTATAAAATGCTTGTCTAACTAAAAGTTTTATTACACAACTATGGTCATTTATCTTATATGAGTAAATTCTAAATTCAAAAGGAACAATACAAAAAGTAAGAGATGATTATACACAAATAAATATTTTAAGTAGCTCTTATTGTGAAAAAATGATAGAAAATCAATTAATATAATATAGATACATGCAAAGAAAGTCACAAGAGATAGCAACAAAAGTAGTGAACAATGTGATATTTAGTTTAATGAAAAGGGATAGAAAGAGATAAAAAAAAAACAACTTTAGAAAAAATTATTAATATAAATTTAACAACAAATAATATTTTAAAAAATTCAACTTTTAAAAGAACTCAATAACATTGTGTTATTTATATAGACATCTTTATCTAATGTGATAGGATTTAATTGTTATTATTATAATAAAATTTTATAGTACATTTATTCTTATTTTATTTGTTCAAAAAGAGAAAATGAATTTATACTTATTTATATGCCAATATAAAGGTTTAAGACAATATTAATTATTAATTTTTTACTATTATCCTTTGATGTATTTAAATTATTTTTACTTCTTGGGTAGTTCAAAAGCCAAAAGAAAATCCATTAATAAAAGGTAAATTATTAAGTTTATAATTAATTGTAAGAAAATGATTAGATTACTTGATCTTTGTAATTTTTTCCATGAATAGATAAATTAGAACATAAGCAACATTATATTAATTGTTGTCTATACAAAGGTTCTTCTCTCTTGTCCATGTCAAAGTTCAAAGCATTATGCCCGTGAAGTGTAATATTATTTTTTTCACTTTCTCATGTAGAAATTCAAAATAATATTAATTGTTATGATTTTTTTAATAATTTTTGGTTAATATCAAAATTTTAAATATAATAAATAAAACATTTGTATTAGACAAGTAACCAAAAGTTCAAGAGGTTCAAAGAGAGGCCACTAATAAAGGGTATATAATAAGTTTATCGAATATTTATAATAAAATGATAAAATTCTTTCGATTATGTAGTTTTTCTTTCTCCAGATAGGTAAATAGAACAAAAATAATGTATAAATATAAGTCTCAATCTTTAACATAATTGTATTTTCTTTTTCCCTGTGACATGTTACATCACAAGTTGCTAATACATTTTTTACTTGAATATAAATTGTCCATGAGAATAAAATAATTTAATAATCAATCTTTATAAAAAAAAATTATTTATTTTCACCTGCCTAATTTTACATGGTTCTAATGTGTTATTTAAATTTTATATGTTGTAGTTCTTAAAAACTCTACAACCCTTGTGTTTTTAGTTCTTAAGATAGGGCAAAAGTCAAATTTATAGAAATTAAAACAGAATGGTCATGTTTTTTAAAATAAAAAATTTAAGAGTTTTATAATTTTAAATTTCTCAAATTATTAATTGTTTTCTTTTTTTTATATGAATATTTATTTTCTATTAAACACTGAAATTTATTTCTGTCCTTCAAATGTCAGCTTTATTTAATATTTAGATTTCTCTTCAAATAAATTTTTTTTTCTCATTTCAAATCCTATCCGGTTATATTCTCAAATCTATTCATTCTATTTTGTTTTAATTTTGCAATTTTCAATCTTCTCCTAAATCAAAGTTACTTATCTATATACACATCTACAATCTTTTAATTTAACTTCTTAAATTTTATTTAAATTAAAAGTAAAAAATATATATCTTAATTTTTATTTTCTATTATCATCTCAAATCCTCTCATCTTCCATGCCTTCTTCCTTCTCATCAAATTAGGGAGGGTTATTCAGAGAAAATGAGAGGTGAGGGAAAAACAAAAAGAAGAGGGGGAGAAGAGGAATTGGAAGGAGCGGAGTAGGAAAAGGATAATTATGTATGATAAAAGAAAGAAAAAAATATTAACAAATTAATATATTTAATAAAAAACATTATTTAAAATATATTTAAAAATTATAAAAAAGTTAAAACTTTTAAAAATTAAAATAATTAAGCAAATGAATAAGTTAGAGAAACAAAAGTATAATTTTACATAAATTAAACTATATTTTACAATACACTAAATACAGCTAATATAAATTTAAATTAATGACTACAAATGAAGTTTGATTGATAATATAACAATAAATATTCGATATTTTTTAATCTTTGCAATTAAGATAAAAATCGTTATTAATCTTTTTATTTGTTTGATTTTATTCTTCATATATTTTAATTTTTAAAATAATTTCTATTAACATATTAATACTGATAGATAAAATTTACTGTATTCTCTATAATTGAAGGTTTAGTACCCTCTTTTTACACGTTACCATTAATTTTATATTAATAAACAATGTAGTTAATGACTAAAACTATAAATCTACAACGGTTAATATAAAGAAGAGACAAAATACTTTCTCAAGTTTATAGATACCATAACAAGCATTTTAATGATATTACATCCATCTAAACACATGATCTTAGAATAAATATTAATATGACATTATATATCGTAAGAGGAACCTTATATACGAGAGTAAGAAATAAATTTGAATTGTCTAAACATACATAAATAATCAAAGTTAAAAGTTTAAAAAAGTAATTATTTTAAAATCACATGACCTTTTTTTTAAAAATACATGACTTATATATTTTAATTTTGACCATTCATTATAAGATCTAATTGTTAAAATTTATTTCTCTTACATGATCTATGTATGTTTATATTTCGCCTTTCCAAGTCCTAATATCTTATCAAATTGTTCAAAATTTTCATTTATTCACTAAAATAATTTTATATCCTAAATTTATAATAAATCCTCAAAAAAATAGACAAAAGAATAATAATTTGAAATATTAAAGTAGAAAAAAATTGACAGTGAAAACAAATGTTTATTTTAAAATTAGAGAAACTTAACTAACTAAAAATAAAATAAAAACTACAATCACCACAATCCAAACTAGAGGAGGAACCGAAGTGCAGTTAAACCTAATATATTTTAAAAACTATTTATTAAAATTGTCACCCAATATTTCTGTGTACACCAAAAAAATTTAACTAATAATTATTATAGATATTGCCCTTTTGAGATATAGAAATAAGTGAACTTTATTTCAGGCATACTATTAGGTATTTTACATTATAAATTCTGATCAACATGCTTAAAAACAACCTACGAATAAATTCATTTTCATGGGTAAAGCGTAAATTACATTATTAGGTATTACTTGAACCAATATAAATAATGATTTGTGTTGATTTATTCTATTTTCCACTCAACTGAACCAACCAATCCATGAACTATGTGATTCGGGTTGGATAATCAGGTGTATATAAAAAAAAATCCATGTATTCCTATAGAAACTAAAAGGAATAAAAATAAAGGTTGAGGAGTATAAGGCATCTAATATAGACTTGGTTCAGTGTGGAGCATCATAATATGGTGGTATTAACCATATACACCTGTTTTGATATGTCATATGTAAATTAACTATAAATCTAACAACAAATCAATTGATTAAATACTGCATCTATTTTGTCTACCTTTATGCATTGCAGTGTGTTATTTAATTGCAAGCAACAAAAATATAGAGGAAAAGAATATAATACAAAGAGATATGAACACAACACTTTGGTAATAAAAGAGACACACAAGACCTTGAGATAATAAGCAAGGCCACAAAACTAAAATAATCTGTATGGTTCAATTACAAAAGCTAAGCTGGGGAGTGGTGGGGACTAAGGATCTAAGAAATAGTAAGATTCCCATCACAAAATTAGCTCAAAACAAAATCATGTACCCCAAAGAAGAGCTATAAGATTATCTAGACCCCACTGGAAACAAACGCTAAGGTGGTGTAATATATGCAGGTCAATAAGAACAAAAAATAGTTGCAGTATCAACTTCTATAATCTGCCAGATATATTACAGATAATGAAGTCAACCCCACACTTTAATGGGTAAGAGAAAAAGTTAGTACTGAACCACTTACGCTTAACCTTTAGTTCTCATAATTGTGATGCTACCCTTTCCCCCTTCAGTGCGGATTTTCGTTTTACCAACCACAGGCTTCCCAGAGAAGGCTGATTTGGGGTAAGCAGATGGATCATCACAGCTTTGCTTTGATTTTGATGGAGGTGGTGTTCGAATGCGCTGATTTATTTCCTTCAGGGTTACATCTCCATGGGCACCACTCGGTTTAATGAATGCAAATGGATAGGCCACAGAAGAAGCCAATTTTGTGGGAGTCCTTATAAAAGATTTTCTACCTAAACATGATAAAAAAAAGTCTGAATTTGTTTTTATGTCAAAAAATGTCCTAAAAAAATGTTTTTAACCTCTTGTAAATATATGACTTAAATTGATTTTGATCCCTCAACATTTTTTTTAGGTTGGTCCATATAAATTTTAAAACTTCGTAATAATGGTCCCTATTACTACTTAGTAATGACATGGCATGCATCTAGCTATATGTTATGTCAATCACAATTTTCAGGTCTAGCCATGTCACATCATGACTAAGTGATGATAGGGAGTATTTTAGTATATCTTTTTAATTTACAAGGAACAAAACTAACAAAAAAATTGGATGACTAAAATTACATTAAGCCAATTTTTAGAGGAAAGTAAAAATTTTCCGTAAAATCGTGCTTGCTTTTCACATCTTGTGGGTGCATCACTTTACCATATAGCATACAAGAGAAACAGAGACTGTCAAGGACAAAGTCAAACCTTTGAAGATTATCGGGGTTCGAGGGACATGCTGTTGAACCACATTTTGTTCATATGATGGTGTGATGTCACTAAGCTCTACAGGAGAAAGAATATATTTTGAATAAAGCTCAATTTATAGAGGAAAGAATGAAGGAAGAAACAAAATTAGCAGACAGTAGTGAATGGAAAACAATGTCATCTACCAGCAACATCAATCTGAACATCATCTGCCCCTGAAAAATTCCTGAGTCAAATGACAAATTGTCAGATTATTTTGTTGTATAACCAACTATCCACAAAAAAATGAATGGTCCAGATAAGCATACAAATCATCAGGACTGAATTGCATCCCAGTGTCGTTAAAGTATTCTGCAAGCCACCCTTCAGTTGATTCCAGGTCCTCATAACCAGATGCGGATGCATTTCCTAATGTGTAATCTGTAATGATTTCGGAAAGATCAGAAACAAAATTGAAAAATATACAAAAGCTATGTACCAGAAAAAGTATAAAGAAGAATCCTGCAAAAGGTAAACCTGATGTCCCCGAGACCCATTGTGATACTTCTGGAAAGATATCCTTAACTGGATCCTCCTTCCCCTGCATATGCAACAAAGTAACAGTCATAACTTAAGGCAACCACAATGTTATGGCTTAAATATAAAGTTAAATGATGCTTTGTTGACATTAACATAAGAAAATAATCAAGATTGGGAATCAAGCCCACGCACAAAGAGACTTCCCATTATTTAGGGACAAATACCAATAATCACAAATAGGACTCATGAAAAACAGATACATACCCTAAAAAACAGTTATTGTAAAAAAGATAAAAGGATTTAAAGCAAACAATATGTCAGTCATTTGTCAACAAGGATGGTTATGATGTCATTTGCAATTTTCAACAATAAGAACAAATCTGCATTTCACAAGTCTTCTTCATATTGTTAGAACCATTTCAACATGCTATGAGTGTGAAAAGTTAATCTGGAAAAAAAACTGCAACCACTTACATTATTCAAATATGATGCAGACATCTCTTCATTGGATAGAGATTGATCCCTATCACGGCTATTGAACTGTAGCATCCGTCGCCTCTTGACTTGAGAAGAAGGCTCTCTACATTCCTCTGGTTCCTTTTGCATACTATTTGAATCTAAAAAACCACCAGTATTTGGATTAGAGAAAGGTAACAAATAATAGTCACAAAGGAGAAAAGAACAATTGATCAAGTTACAGATGCTGTCAAGACAATGTCAAGAAAGGTGCATGCAGGAGAACTGCTTACCCACAATATTGACATTATAAGCCAAATCACCACAAGCTTTAACTGGAGTTGTTTCATCATCAAACATGTATGAAAGATCTTCTTCATTTTGTGGCACGTCATTCCACAGTTCTTCAGAAATTTCTGCTCAAATCAACAAATTTTCCTCAGGCATTGGTTAGGTAAAAGAAGCATTTTAATTTACAGTGAGAATTACCAAAATTGGAAGTCTTTTGGAGACTATAATCCTCCCTTTGCCAATCCCATGGCTCCTTAGCACCGCTACTAGCAGAAAAGTAAATGTCATGGTGTGATGCAATTTTGACAAAGATTGACCAACAGAAAAGAAGCACATTCCGAAACCAATGTAGAAGAATACACAAAGGATAGCATTAACTCAAAATCCCCAAACAAGGCTTATAGGCATCATAATTAGAAACATATACAAGACAAGATTGACAACGTTGTAAACTCAAGCAATTACCACCATAAACCACCAAACAAAAAATTAGAAACAAAACCACCAGAGTATACATTAGAAACCATAGTAAGCATTTAAACAGTTTTTCTTCCTTCTGTTGATGATATTAGCCAAAGAATAATAACAAAAAAAGCAGAAAAAAGAAAAAGATAAAGAAAAAAAGAAAAACAAGAACAGGAGAAAAGGGCAAAAAAGATGACCCACCAATTTAATCAGAGAAGGCAAAACCCTCATCATCCATTCTTTATCCATAAAATATGACCCAAATCAAACAATCTCCAGAACAAACCAAAGCCACACACCACAAAAACTTCTGAATCAACCAGAACCATTATCCAGCATTTGATTCCGTTAATCAAAACAAACAAAATGTACGTAGCTACAGCAACATGAAGACCCCCAAAATAAGAACACCCCCCCCCCACACACACACACAAGAAAAAAAAACAGAAGCAAAATTCACAAAATGAAAAATGAAAAAAAACCCATTTCATGTACCAAACCATTTTCTCAGGATAACAAAAAACAAGACCAAAACCAAAATAACATGAACAACACAAACAAAATCAAAGCCTACAACTTGAATCACATAAATGCATTTGGTAAACCCACCCAAAATCCATCAACCAGACCAAGCAGACCCCCAATTATTAAAATAAAATAAAAAAAAAGGGAAGAGAAAAAAGAAGGAGAAAGAAAGATTTACTCGTCATTGTTGTTATAATCCATTCCAGCAACAAGGAAGAACCAACTCTTGTCACTGATTAGAGTCCTCCCTCTATTTTCTTTTCTTTTTATTCTTTCTCACAACACAAAAGTAACCGTTAAAGAGAGATCGGTTTTGCTGTGCCTATAAACCGCAACACAACTCAGTCCACTCTGCTCCTATGCTTGAGATGTGTGCTGTGCTGTGCTGCATATATCACTTTTTATTTATCAATATCGATATTGTAAATATAAATATAAATACATTGATATTTCTCACGCAGTGACTGAACCAAATACCAAGTCCAAAAGCGCCGACCCTCTTTCTCCATTTCCTATATATCCTCTCCCACTACACTAGCTATTCCTCAGCTTTTTATTTTTTATTTTTTTATTTATTGCACGTTAATTGAAAACCGGAAATAGAGAAAGTTGAGAGCTCTTGAGATTTTTTTACATAAAAAATAACTCTCAATTAACAGTAAAAAATTAATCTCTTCAAGTATAAAAAATATTTAAATGGGAATTAACCTTTTTTAATAAAGTTTTTTCATGCATGCATATGAATAAAACCCAAACTTTTGTTAATATTCTTAAAAACCACAACTATTTACTAACTGTACTTAGTTTTGTCATTAGAAATCAGCTAGATATTAGTGTCTAAAACTTGTGGTCGATCATTAATATTTTGAAGATAAAAAATTAAATTTTCATTCTTTTAATAAAATTTAACTTTTATATCATATATTTCGAGAATTACTTTGATTGAATACATATTTGAGATTGATTTAACACTTGAATATGAATACATAAGTAGTGACTAATTTAATTATTAAATATATACTCAGAGAATTTAAGTTAATGTAAATTGCAACATTAAATTAAAAAATTAAGACTAAAATAAATTTTAAGAGTTATAAACACACAAAAAAATGAATTTTTTATTGTGTTTAATTCAATCCAAATTAAATCGATACATATATATGATTTGCTCATAACTTTAACATATTACTCATACTTATATAAATATAAATATAATGATAAATTTAATTATTTTAGTATTATATTATTAGATTAACAATTTTGGTCTACTTTTAAATGTTTGTTTTAACTTATACTTTTATAATTTTATGAAATGTGTATTCTCTTCTTAAATAAAATAAAAACTAAAAACTAATTATTAATAAATTATTTTATCAAATCAAATGATTTAATAATAAAATTAAAAAAATCTAATTCAATCTGAAAACACTCATTTTTCTAGATTTACTTTTAAAAAATATATATCATTGACCGATGACCATACGTTCATGAGACCATAGCCATATGACAAACGCAGGGACAGAGAGAGATAAAGAGAGAGCGCACGCTTTTACTCTTTGGGACCCACTTCGGTCCGTTACTCGTTTCACGTGGCACATTTTTTTTTTCTTTTATAAAGAAAGAACACTATTTTCGGTATTTTAAATAATGCTTAATCATCAAGATTAAAATTGTATTTTATTCAAATATGTATATGTAATGTTGTTGTGGATTTTTAAAGTAAAATTTTAATTTTAAAGTAAAATTATAAATAATTACCTTAAAAATGTCTAAGTAATTATACTTATTTTTTTTCCAATTGATTTGGTCGCAATTGAAAAAGAAAGTGTGGTATAAAATTAATGAAATGCTTTTTGAAAATGTAAAGTATCCTTCGATATGTTCAACGTTCATTTCTTGGTATTCAAAATTATTCCGTAACAAAATGGTTATGTTAATGGAACTTTCTTTTTTTATTTTTCTGGTGGAAAGAATCTTCCTAATTGAATTGCACATTTTATGTGGCGATGTTTCCTTGAAATGCAGGAAAACAAAGTGATATATAATTGAAAACAGATTGCATTTCCTTATATTAATCGGTAAATTCATCATTCATACATGCCTACGTTAAAAAAGGGCGAGTATTATTATTTATAAAATTATACTTAATTTGAGTAATTTTTTTATAAAAATACATGTGTTTTAAATAAAAAATAAGTTGAATTAGTTTTTTTATTTATTATAGTTTATTTATATTTTTAATTAATTTCTTATATTTTAAAGTATTTTTAGTAAATTTTAACAATCAATATCATTATATTTTTATTAAATTACACTTATTTTTTTATATAAATATTTTTTGTAAATTTTTAAATCTTATTATTACTAGATAATAAATAATTCAACACTAAATTAAAAAGTTATTTTTCAATTATATTTAACATGCATCCACTAGAAAGAAAAAAAAAGGTCTTGAATCACTTCAACAAACTTGAAGACTCTTAAAAATATGTATACCAAACATTTAGGTTTCTTATATCATGAATTCAAGTTTTTATTTTACTTTATATCACTATTTTATGATAATAAACTAATAAAAAATTAACTTAAACTTATCTCTATTAATATATAAAATTCAAATATTTTAACGATAATTCAACATTAAAAATATCACCCCCAACATTAATATGATATTGGGATTTTTAAAAAATGCTTATGAAAGATAATAATTAAAAAATTAAAAAAATTACCAAATTATATAAAAATATAATGTCGTTAATACTTTACAAATATACAACAGTGTTAACTATTATGAATTTAATTAGAAAACTTTAAAATTATAAGTACTTAACAAAAAGATTTTAAATTACGAAGATCAAATTAAAATTAAAAAAGAAAACTATGAGAACTAATAGACTAATTCAACATAAAAAATATAAATAAATATACATTAACAAAACAACAATGAATTGATTCACATGCTATTTAATTGAAATGAATTACTTTAGCTATACATTTTGTGTTTCAATTAATAACTTTAGTGCTTATTGGAAATCATTTAAAAAATCAATTTTAAAATTTTTAATTAAAAAAATATAATTTAAATTAATTTATCCATGTATTTCAACCATATTTAACAATTTAAATATATTTTTGTCAAAATCAATCCTACTCAATTTTAAGTTAAAAGGATACATAAAAAATATTTATAACTAAAGTATTTATAAGAATATATTTAATCAAAAAATTTTAAAGCATAAAGTTAAGTTAAATAATTTTATAATCTTAAAAATCAGCGCTATTTTTTATATTTAATAATCATATAACAAAATTTGTATGATACACACACTATATTCGTAATTATCTTAATTCTTTGAATTATTTTTTTAATTTTCTTAATTGTGTTAATATCTTAATTGTTTTTGGTTCACGTTAAACATAATAACTTGATTAAATTTGGTTTCTTTTATACTCAAACTATTTTTTATTTTTTTTACAAAAACTTATTATCTTTCGATTATTGATTGCATTATTTTGACACCTATTAAATATAGTGTGTTTAGATAAGTTAAACAAAATTAGGTTATTTTAATGATTGATTATTGCAATAATTGATTAAAAAATAAATTTGTGTGTAGATATTTTAGATGAAAAGTGATTTTATGATAATTAATTGTATTTAGATTGTATAAAATAATAAGTCAAATTATAAAAAAAAAAAGAAAAGTAAAACTCATTAGGACATGAATCCAAGATCACCGATTAAATTTGAAACAACTCGATATTAGTTTATTCATGTATACAATTATATGTGTAATAATTAATTTTGTATTTAAAATAATCAGTTATTAAATATAAAAATAAAAAATAAAATTTAAATAAAAACTAAGCTAATAGCTTTTAATCATAAACACCAAAAATTTGCTTATCTTAAATAAAGTGTTTCCTTTCTAAAAATAAAAATAATTAAAGATAAGCTAAATTTTTTAAAAACTAACAAACAAAATTAAATAGTGTATTTATAATTTTTATAATTTTTATAAAAATTAATTTAATTCAAACACACTCTAATCAAAATAAAAATTTAATATCATAACATATAAATAAATAATAATAATTGCATAAAAATTGTACCAAAATTCTGCTTTCATGATTAAATATTCCCTAATATACTATAATTTTATTATTTGATATCATTATTTTAAAATTATTCTTACCCAAATTTTATTAAATAATTTATTTTAATTTAATAATCATATTTAATTTCTTACAGCAAGAGTGAATAAAAATTTACAACTTCAAAAATCTAAATGAATATTCATAAATAAAAGGAATCGTTTAGAAAATTTTCAAAAATAATTCAACGACCTTTGAAATAGTTATTTCTATATATATATTAGTAAAACTAGAATATCACTTTTCTAAATTTTAATATCAGATAGTTGAGATAGGATGAAAATCAGAATTACGAAATAAGTATATATTTTATTTTATAAAAAAAATTGTGAATTTTATAAAAATAAATCTTTAAATTTAAGAATAAGAAAATCATTTCTTCTTTAAAAGAAGAAACCAAGTTTAAGTTAAATATATACAATATAATAAATCAAAAAGTATTATGATAATTACTTCATACGTACAAGGATGTGAAGTTGTATTCAAAGTAATTAAAGACTAATCATTTGCGTTTTTCTTGAAATCTTCATCTCATTTTCATTATATATTTTTTACTTCATTCTTCTTGTTTAAAAATATTAATAAAATAAATTATACAATAACAATTAACAAGGATAAGAAATAAGAATTATAAAAAAAGTACATGAAATTCAAAATAAAAATTATCTAATAATCATTCTATAAATGGTCAAAATATAAAATAATAATAATAATAATGTATATAAATAACATGATTTATGATTAAACTAAAGAAAAATTGGAAGAAAAAAGACACGACAACTAAAAAATAATTAAAGATATTGAGATATATATAGCAAATTAGATAAAAAGAAAAACTAAAGTGTCTTCAATATGAATGGAAAGAGTCGAGGACACTCATCTAAGTAGGGAAGATTCAAGAGGTGGGTCAAAGCAGAGGAGCAATCTTCAATGTAGCGGAATAGCAAACAATTGTATAAAAATTAAAGAGCTTAACCTTATTTTATCTAGTGAAGTTAGGAGGTCATCCAAGAGTAAAGGGGCAAAAGGAAAGGTCCTTTCTAGAACTAGAAGGATGTTGCCTTAGATTATTCTACCATGACTATACCACCTAGAAATGGAAGGCAAGGTCAGAGAAGGAGCCAAGTAATAACAAAAAAATGGCTTAAATATCAAGGAAGGAGGGAGATAGGACTTCATTGCTTATTAATGGCAAATTGACATGGAGTTTATAGGAAGCTAAGGAATGGATATATGTAGATGGACAAAAGTGGTGGAAGCCTCATAAGTCTACAAATTTAGTTTCTCAATAGATCATTTTTCTTGTAATTTTCTTTATGAAAGTATGGTTCTGA